GATTTATTGTCAACTGAATACTGATTAACTTTTGTTTGAAAAATTTGTTCATCAGTTTCGCGGAAATACCGGCAAAATCGTAGCGGCCGTTTCGCATACAGGGGTTTCAGAGACAAATATCAACTTTGTATACATTCAAAATTTCTCTTATTTTTGTTTTGTAATTTTCATTAGGTAGTTAAATAATGTTGGGTTGTTAATTATGTGAGGTGGTGGAACAGAAAGAAATCAAGGAGAGATATAAAAACACAACACAATATATTTTACACGTGGCGTAACGCTACGCCCGTACACGAGTGGACGAAAACGGAACGGCACCAGCACGCGTGCTCTCGGGGAAAAACAGTTGGCGCTCGATGGGTCTCCACACGCTGGCACTTCGAATACTTTAACAATTACTCAATGTAAATTTTCTTTTCTGTGTGTTTTACACGCATTTTATGCACATTTTTAAATGTAATTTTTAATAGGAGAAACGATTAGGAATGCTTGTCTTCGCGTTTAACCTGTTAACTGCGGAAGACGAGTTAATCAATACTTAGAACAAGGTAATTTATTTATGGAAGGATTGTTCATTTTTAATTGTACCGTTATGCCTGTGTTAAATATAAAACGCATCGTATTCACATTCGCAACAACCAAAATAATGTAACTGATTATAATTTTTCCTAATTTTTAATTAGAGACCAGAACGATTCAATCTCTGTTTGAGAGATGAACTCAGTTAACAGGTTAAAGATATTGATATTTTTATATCTCTTCGTAAGAGACTTTTTAGTGACAGGAAAGATTAGAAAAGTGAGATAATTGTATTTGTCAGACCTTCTTCTAAGAGAAATACAATATTATGACTGCGCACGGTGACACATAAATCACTTTACCATTTCAAAATTGAATAACGTTTTTTTTTATTACGTGTTTTAAAAAATTTTGTTGCAGATTTTGAAAAATATTTATACCATTTTTCAATAGTAAAGTGATTTATGAATCATCGTGCATATTCTACTTTGGATAGGAAGCTTTTCTATTTTGCTAGAACTTGTATGTTGGAGAAATTTATACATTTTTGCTGCTGAGGTATATTATGTGTACAGTATGAGATTGAAGGATTTTCAAAAAGAAAATATCTTAAATTGATCGATTCAACGAATTTCGTTCCCAATTCATCTTTTGTTTCAATTATTAGAAACGATACTCGCTAATATTCACATTTATATGTATAATAAAGTACTAATGTTTATACGTTCTTTTTGTAATCCATAGCAGTATGACAACTTTCGATTTCTTTTTAAAGAGCAAGGTGGAGAACAACAATTTCTGTTGCGGCGGTGAACCGCAGAAGCCGCGCGAACCGGAAGTGCACAAAGTACCAGCACTGGGAAGCCCTGCGCTTCCTTGGTCAGGAATCGCGATAGTTGATTTAAAAATTAAAAATATATCTCTGAAGGATTTTAAAGGAAAATACTTGATACTGCTCTTCTACCCCTATGATTTTACATTTATCTGTCCCTCGGAAATGATACAATTTAGCGATCGTATAGAGGAGTTTAAAAAATCAGGTATACTATTTATTTCATGCCTCTTATGTTTAACACTGATCCAGAAATCAGTTTGAAGACATAAATAATCATAACATTATTAATTTTCCTTTAAGTAATTTACAGTTTTTATATTAAACATTTTCCCATTTCCTTCTCATTTCTTTTTTTATTCTAATATAATTATTATCAATAAATGCACAAAATATCGTCATTCTTCCTTTCCAACAATTTTGCTCCGAACTACAAATAGACTGCGAAGTGATAGCGATTTCCACGGACTCACAGTACTCTCATCTAGCGTGGATTATTACACCCCGGAAACAGGGTGGCCTGGGTGAAATGAGAATTGCTGTTTTATCAGACAAAAGTCACGAAGTATCGAGACTATACGGGGTGCTCGATGAAAAGGAAGGAATATGCCTGAAGGGTTTATTTATCATCGACAAGAATCAATTGATTCGACACGTCGCGATTAGCGAGATATCACTCTCGCGTTCCGTTGACGAAACCCTGAGAATCGTGGAGGCTTGCAAATTCATAGACGAATACGGAGAGACTTGTCCAGCTGGTCCAAGGAAACAATTGAATCCTTTGAACGACGATCTACCTTATTTCAGTACATGACTGATCATGTAGTGAAAAATTTTTTTTCAATTTTTCAAATATTGTATTTTTCTCCAATCATTGGATTTTTTTTTGTAAATTATTTTAAATTTTGTAAAACTAGAGAAATGAACGGTGCTTGATTTTTTATAATGTCTTTTCCTTTGTATTGTAAGAGTAACGTTTTGTGGGAGAATAAAGAGTATAGTGATTCTTGAAATCAACTTACTTGTTGGACTAGATAGACCTTGTGGAGATTTCATGGGGGTGGCAGTTGGTGTGGCTTCTCCTCGCATGGATAGACGTGCAGGTTTCTGAGCATGCACTATATATACCATCACACCAATTTAAACATGCTGTACTTTGGAATTAAATACTGGGGGTAATAATATTACTTTATGGAAGCAGAATAGCTGATACAATGAGAGCTACACATAATACTTGTTAAGATAAGCAAAGAATTTTGTTAGAAATCACTGTTTGATATTGATAGTGGCATAAACTAAAAAGGTAGATTTTAAAAGAAAGACAGTTTAAAATTTGCTGATTACATAAAAAGTCATATCTCTTTCCTGATTACAATTAGAAAAAATATTAGAAGAAAAAAGATGAAGTGTACATTTTCAGAAACATATTCTTTTCAGATGTACAATTTGTTGGATGAAGCACCCTGTATAATCTGATCTGCTCACTGATGTGAAGTAAATGAAGTTAGAAATGTATCATTTTACATGATAAAAATACTGTACTTAAGGAATCTATTCTTGCAAACAAATAAAAATTGACATTTTTCGAGTTATAACACTATCAATGCCAAACAGTGAAATATAGTAAATGGTTTCGAAGCTTTGGTAGTTAAATGAGAAATGAAATAAGGATCATAGAGTGAGAATATGAATAACAAATGAACAAATTGCTCTCTAAAAGCATCTGCTGCTGCAAGGAAGCATTTTGGATAAACATACAAGCATACTTTGAAGCTTACAGAACCTCCAAACACTATCTTTTATGTGGTCATTCTGTGTGCTTACCTTTTTGAACACAAAATATAATATTCTCATGTACATATTAATTGGAAAAAATAGAATTTTATCTGTGCAATTGGTACCCACCACTTTTTTTTAAATATTCAGTTAAAGAATTCACAAAATGCATGCAAAAATTCAATTTTCATTCATAATTTCTTTTTTTAATATTGTTAATTAATTGTTTTGATAAATGATAGTGTCCCTCGGGTAGACTCCATCACCTGCTAAAAAGAGTTAATCAAAGCGAGTAAACAATTACAGCTGCAATTATATAGCGAGAGACAGTAGTAGTAGTTGGCCTACGAATATGCTGAAAGATACAAAGATTATGTGAAATTTATCATTTAACTCAAATTGTAGAACATTAAAAAGAAAATTTAAATAGAATTCTAATAAAATATTTTTTGGATGTGAAAAAAAATTTTTATGATTTCTTTTCTATATACAATTACACAATTCGAGTTAATATTCGTGTGAAAAAAAAAAGAAAGAAAAGCATCTGCCATAAAATGTTGCCAGATGATTCGATTTTTATGCTCCAGCACCAGCTTAAAGGATCAATAGCAGGATCTATATATAAAATTCAATTCAATCATCAAATACCAAAGTCTCGTTTATATGTAGAACAAGAACAGAATAGCAACCCGAATGAACGGTCACGAACACATAATTGCACATCTCTTGCAAAAAGATCGATTTATCTGTTATAAAAAAGGCACTGGTATTTAATAGAATAAAATTAATACACGTTACACCATTTTGTTTGCACAATAATTTCTTTATATCCTGAAAAAGACGTTTCTTCCACCCTTTGTACTCGTTAGTCATTGTGAACGAATAATATGGCATAAAAAAAAAAAATAAATTGCACGAAAAGTGAGATAAAAGATACAATTAAAAAACAAAAAAGAAGTAGCAAACATGTATTATGCATCGGATGGTAAATAACAATGGTTAAAACACAATGCATCGGCTAACAGTTGCATTTTAAACAATAAAAAATTTTCTTAAAGCAACGATTTTAAAAATGGAAAAAACACAATTTCAATTTTAAACACAAAATAGGCGATATTCGTTTCATGGGGACACTCACCTTCCTTGGGCTTGTCTTGAGGCTGTGGTGTACGTGTAGAAGCCTTGCGATGTGCCACTGTGGTTTGTGCATTCCGTGCCGCATTTTAGGATGCGTTTTTTTAGGAGAGATTTTCGATGGATTTTCATTTTGGAATGGAATCACAGAAGTCGACAACAGGTTGAGGGAAGAGAGAAAGAGGCAAAAATAAACGTGCTGTTAGCAATTTCATGCTTATCCAAACAAACCAGTTTGTAAAACCAGTTGCCTAAGAGTTAAAGTGTACAAAGATACGTGGAAAGCAAAACCGTACGATAAAACACGTTGGTATTAGTAGAACAATAGTAACAAAAAAAAGTGAAAAAAAATATTCCAATTCATTTTGTCAATGATCATCATTCCGAATATTATTATTGGTTTCTGCAAGACTTTAAACTATAATCTTTTCAGAAATCATTTCAAAGCATCCAAAAAAATCTTGTTCCTTTAATGATCTAATTGTTGTTTGTTTTAAACATGTTATTGTTATTTATATTTTCCAATGCATTAAAGAGTGAACTTTGTGATGCAACGTATACGACACTCTTATCAAACTGCCTTTTAAAATATAGCAAGACACGTATTTCACCATCTTACCATGTGACTCGTCTTCTCCCAATGGACGTTCTCCGCTTGGTACACCGTCTGCTTCGGCTCTGTTACATAGAAATGTACATTTAGTCTTATTTTATATAGAGTATCTCACTTATAATGAACATCTAAATTATTTCTGCTGCTATTGAAAGTAAGAAAAAAAGACTAAGAGGAGTTTATATGGTTTAAGAACGTGCAGCTGGTGATGATTAAAAAAGAAAAAAAAAACCTCCTCAAAGTCATCTTGAATGTCATTCTAAGGTCATCGACATTGATATTTTACTGTTCAAAGTCACTTTAAGGTCATAATGTCATAGATCGCATTACAAAACATTAGTATACAAAAAAATGTCGAAGACCTTGGAATGACACGAGGAGAATTATCATCATCAGATGCACGTTTTCAAACCATACAATTTCCTTTCAGTCATTTTTCACTTTCAGTAACTGCTGAAATAGTTCAGATGTTCATTATAAGTGAGACACCTTGTATGTAGAAAATATTTTATTCCATTCTATTCTAATTTTTTATTGTACTTTTATATCCAGTGCACCATAACTTCATTACTGGCCAAGTATCTTCTATTCTATCAATTACCACCATTTTTGTTTCCTCTTTTTAAGTATAAAAAATATTTGATTTTTATTTACCTTTCGCTGGGTGGTTCGTCCGGACTAGTTACTGGCGTTGCTTTAGCTAAACGAGCCGCCTCAGCTGCCGCGGCCTCCTCCTTTTTACGTCTCTCCTCTTCTTCCTCCCGTTCTTTCTCCCTCCTCTTCATCTCCTTTAACTCAAACTGCAATACAGATTGTCATTAAATACACTGAAATGTTAAATTTTTCTAATCTTGAATCTTTAAGAAGCTACTGACGGTCGTGAGTCGATGCAAGGCACTAAACCTTTCTTCCTGTGCAGCTGCCGATTTTTCGAATGCTTCATGCTTCTTAATCAGGTTCTCAACTTCGTCAATTGTATGCTGTAATAGTAAATTACTAATACAAATGCCTGTTTCATTACCAAAAAAATAAAAAATAATTCAATATATTACTTACACCAAGTTCTTGGCTCATAAGATATGGTTCCTGAGCGATCAGCCAGGCCTCAGCGACCGCAGCATCTCTGGCGAATTGATATACCTCCAAAACTAAATAAATACGTACAAACATCATTAACAAAAGTCCTTTCATCATTTTTAATACAATATATACTCATATACTGACTGAGTTGCAAGTTCTCCCAGCGTTCCTCCCATCTATGCAACAATGCATTCCTATGGTCTGTAAGAGCTGCCAATTTCTCCTTGATCTGAGTGCTGGCATAGTGATTTCTAGCCAACAAATTCTTTCCAAGATTGATACATGCCATTAGGTTGTCCTCCCTAGCGTCTATTTCAGCTTTCAAGCTTTGATGATTATTCATCAGGAGTTCCACACCAGCCACGTCTCTCGGCTTCTCAGACGTGTTCATCTGACGTACCACGTCGTCCATCCAGATCATCAGGGTTCTGACCATGTTGAAGAACCGGAAGAGATCGCCAGTATCCTCCAGTTTCGTTCTTCGGGCGTCACACAATGACTGAAGGTTGTTCCAGGCAGCAACTACCTCTCCCTCACGGTTCGTTATTTCTCTGGCCTTGTCACCAGCATAACTAGCCTGCAATACTGTCGATTCTTCTAAAATCTGTGACACCTGGCTCTGTAATGTAGACAAATCCTGTATGAAATTAGCGTGCTTCCTCTGTAAAGCAGAAACAGAGCCAGCATCGCGACCAAGTTCATCAGACATGGCGTTCTGCTTCTCCAGGATTCTTCCAAGCACATCCTTGCAGTCGTGGAAGAACTTGTGTAACTCTCGACTGGCTTGCAACATCTGTGTACGGGTCTCAATCAATTCTAATAAGTCTTGCCATACTTCGTTCAAACCGTCCTTCCATTCTGCAATAGTGGCAGCGTCAGAGTGACCTGTTGCTATCAGAGAATCCGCGATACCGTTCACTGCAGCTACTCTCTCTGAACCTATCGCCTCAGTGTCTCGAGCAAATTCCTTAAACCTCTCCCAGAGAAGAGTAACATGATCATAGTCTTGTCCTAACTCGTGGCTTCCAGCTACCATTTCTCTCTCAGAGATCCACTGCTCCAAATCATCCACTTCTCTGTTCAGCATGAAGAGTTGAAGGGCCTCGTCCAGTTTGGCTCTACGTTCACCAGCCAAGTCCTTCAAACCAGCATACAGTTTGTCCACCTGTGACTGTTTAACAGCAATCTGATCAGCAAGAGGATGTTGGTCATTGATCAACTGTCTAGAAGTCTCTCCAAGCTGACGAATTGTCTCTGCATAATCCTCAACAGCATGCTCCAAGGATTCATGCTTTTTCATCAAGTTTTGAGCAGAAATCTCATCCTTGCCACGGTCCTCCACCATCATGTACAACTCCTGCTCGCTCATCCAGGATTCAGCTTCAGTGGCGTCGAAGAAGTACTGTTGTGCCTTCTCGTTCTGCAACAAATGCTTATTCCTGTCGTCAACAGCGTCCTTCAGCTCTTTCCATTTCTCAGTCAATTCAGATATCAGTCTCTGGAATTCTGGACTGGCCTCATGACCCTCGTCTATCAGCTTCTGACCATTATTACAGACCAGATTGATTCTGGGCTCGTGGTTCTCTATCTCAGTACGCAGAGATTGGTTCTTCTTCTTCAGCATATGAACATTGAACAAAGAGTTTCCATACTCTGTACTAGTAGCCTGAGGCATCTTCTCAGCGATCCAGAGTTTCTCATCTTCGACGTCGCGCCTGAACTGGAAGGCTTCCTTCTTCTTCTCCAACTGACGCTGCCGATCGATCAATGGGGCCTTCAACTGAGCGAATCTCTGGGCTACCTTCTCCTTCTTGCACTTGATCTCCTCCATTTTATCGTCAGGTACCGTACGCTGCAAGTGCTCCGCCTGTTTGTCCAATTCGGTCACCTGTCTTGCCTTCACGGCCATCTGCGTCTCGATCATTTGCTGCTTTTGCATCAGGATATTCACAGATGCCAGATCAGAGCCAGTGTCTGTACTCTCGATCTGTTTCTCCAACTCGTTCATCCAGGAATCAATGTCGTCGCAAGTCTGATGAATAAGGACCTCACGATTGGCATCAAACAGACGCTCACCCTTGTCATGAGTGGTGGTTTCGAGTTCCTCAAACTGATCAGCCAATTCAGCCACTTTAGGCTTGATGATCTCAGCCAGATCAGGCTTCTGTTGAATCAGGTCTTCAGCAGCTTGTTGTAATTGTTGCAGACGATCCTTGTTGCTAGCAATTTCTGCTTCAAACGCTTGATGTCTGGTCCACTTGCTGTGAACCGTCTTTGCACTTCTATAAGTTTCATCTTGTGCAGTGATGTGCTTCTCCTGGACCCATTCTCCAAGCTCTTCACAGTCCTGCAAGAACATCTGCAGTTGTAACTGATCCTTCCGCTTCTCCATGTACTGATTGGCCATCATTCTGTTGACTCGACGACGCACATGGATGCATTCCGCCTTCTTCTTGACTTTGTCTGCCGCGAAGTGGCCTTCGCCGAGAAGTCGTTCGGCGAACTGCACCACAGAGTTGATTTTCTCGTCGTTCGCGTCCATCGTTGTCATAAATGCCTCATGCCGTTTGATCATGTGCTCAGCCTGCTCGAAGTTCGCCGGCGTTTCATCTTTAGCGAGAATGTGCTCTTGCTGAGACAACAGCACCTCTGCCTGTCGAGCATCGCGGTCGAAGATCTGCAAGTTGAGCGAGTTAGACAACAGCATCTTTCTGTTCACCCACATCTGGTGTAGCTCCTCCCAGCCCATCTTCAAGGCGTTCAAACGTTCTCTAAGGAACATGTACTGCGTGTCGCCATCACCAGCTTCGCTAGTTAGCCTCTCTCCATACTCCATCATCTTCTGGTAATCGTCTGTATAGTTGTCAATCTCTTCCCTGATGTTTTGATGTTGTGCTAACAATTTCTCGGCGTCAGCCAAGGTAGTTGGAGTGTCTTCACTGGCCACATCAGTCTGAGTCTTGGTCAGCCAAGCCTGGAAGTGGTCTAAATCTCTGAGGAATCTATGAAGGTCACCTGCTTCCTCCAGTTTAGCATCACGCTCCTTCAGCATCTGCGTTAACTGCTCCCAGATGGTGTGGATCTGATCAATCCTATCTTTGATAACCGCAGGATCTTCCAAGTTCTGCTGTTGAATATTCTGAGCTTCGGTCTCTAAAGCGTCCAATTTGGCCTGTATGGCTGCCAGGTCACGTTCCATCCCGCTCAATCTACGTTGCAACGTCATGACACCAGTTAAATCCATCTCTAGACTGTCAGTCTGCTGAAGAATACGCTTTTTGTCCTCGATCCAGGACACTGTCTCGCGGCACTCGATGTGGAAGGTCTGTACACCGTGAGCAGAGTTCAGCTCATCACGTTTATTCTCTGCTTTATCACGGAGCTCTGCCCATTTCTGATTCAGCTCGTTCTGACGAGCTACAATCTGCTCAGAATTAGGATGTTCAACGTGCAATAATTGTCTAGCTAGTTGATTAACAACGGCAACTCGTGAAGCGTTCGCGTACATCTCCTTTTCGAAGCCGTTATATCTGTGCTTCATAATCTCGACGTCTTCGATGTCCTTGGCTGGTACCATGGTATCTAGCATCCTGTTCTTTTCGCCTATCCATTGCTCCACTCCATCTGATTCGCTGAACAACTTGTATAACGACAATGCGTCCAACAATCTCTGTTTACGGAGCTTGGCAAGTTCCATGAGCTCCTTGTACCTTGAATCAATAGAAGCAAGTCTCTCCAGTACTTCTGGCGACTTCACGTCCTGTTCTCCAAGGCCTGATGCTTGCTGGTGAAGCTGGTCGATGGTAGTAGCGTAGTTCTTCAACTCATCCGTGACATCCTTGTGTTTCTTCAATAATGATTGAACGTTAGCTTCATCTCTACCAACGTCTTCTGACGAGACCAATCTCAGAGTGTCCAACATCCAGATATCAATGTCATCAGCATCTGCAAACAGTTGATGATAATCTACTGCTTCCTCCAGGCGCTTCCTTCTGAAAGTAGCTAGGTCCAGCAGGTGGTTCCACATTCCTAGAATTTCCTCAAGCCTCTCTTGAATCCTATCCGAGCCAAAGTGTTTCTGGTGAACCAATTCATCTCCAACCGCGGCTACGGACATCAATTGTGGCTCATGAGACTGGATCTCGTTCTCCAGAGCTTTGTGCTTTGATAATAACAAGTTTATGGTGGTCAAGTCGTGGCCAATGTCTCCAGTGGATACAATCTGTTCCTTCTCCTTGATCCAGTTCTCCTCATCAGCCATGTCCCAGTAGAACTGCCAGAGCTTGCGAGACTCTTCCAGTCTGGCTCTACGCTCGACTGCCAGGCGTACCAATTCAGCATACGCGTCTTCGAGCTGTTGTACTCGTTCCACGATGATAGCTGGATCGCAAGGTCGATAACTTTCTCCATGTTCCAGGAATCTCTGACTCTGCTGAACAACAGCCTTCACTCTCTCACCCAAAACATTGATGTCAGCTTCTACCAAAGAATGTTTCTGCAGAAGGTCCTCGACACCCATCAGATGCTTTCCATAATCATCAGTCAACAAACGCATCTTTATCTCCTCCATGCTGTCGAGGATGTATAGCATCTCCTGGAAGTTTTGCTGCAATTGCAGTGACATCTCCAGCCTCGTCCTCCTAGCACGAAGCAAATCCAATAAATAATTCCATAATCTGAGAACATTGTCCTTACGAGCATTGATACGTTCAATATCATGATAATTTTCAGCTTCTAGTTCCTGTGAAACAGCCATCACAGCTTGGACTCGTTCCTCATAAGCAAAGATGTCTGTTTCTATAGCCTCATGCTTCTTGGCTGCTGCTTCTACTGCAGCCAGATCAAAACCAAAGTTATCCTGAGAGACTAGTCGTTGATTCTCAGACAACCATGTTTCTCTCATGCTTGCCTTTCTGTTAAACCTTGCTGCCAATTGTTCTAGCTTCTCTTGGCGGATCAATTCCTCCCTCAGAGCTAACTCCCGCTCATGTTCCGCTTTCTCCAGCCTCTCCCAAGCCTTGTTGATATCAGAGATCATCTTACCTTCCTTAGGTGTGTACGGTTTTTGATTATTAGCTCTCATCTTCGACTGTAACGTGAACAAAAGAACCTCCAAGTTGCCCTTTTCAACAAACTTGGGAGGTTTCTCTACTGTACGATAATTGGAGAACTGAGAGAGTTGCGATTGGACGCCAACCAGAGAATTGGCGAATCGACGATCACCCAGGGCCTCTATGGTGCCTTCTATCCAGCGCAATAAATCACTGGTCAGGCTCTCGTACTCGTGTATCATACGATCATTCTCCATGGCGATTCCTACCACTTTGCCTATCCTTTTACCTTGCACAGTCTCTTGCTTCATCTTAGAGAAATAATGATAATACGTGACTACATAGGTGATGATTGATTTCTCGTCAGGATGATCTACAAATATATCCTCAGCGTCTAATAGTTTAGTGAGACCAAGTGAATTCTCTGCTACGTTGAACGCGTTGTTCAAGTTGTAGATGGCATTCGACTTGGACAGTCTCTCGAATGGGATCAAGTCTGGACGGTGTTTGTGAATGATAGCGTTGAATGCCAATCCATCTCGCCAGGACGTGGTGAAATTTCTTACGTTCACATTATGATAGCCAGCTGTTTTCATCTGACACCAAAGAAGCAACGCATCCTTCGCTGATTTCGTTTCTTGATTGTCAGTCTCTTCAATGGTGATATCCTGGATCTGGAATCGAAGAATTATGGTCCAGATGAGACCGAGACTCAAACGGGGGTTTCCATCAACGATATCATGGGAGCCCATGTTCTCCAGGTGGACTCGTTGCTCACGTAGAAACTGCAACGCTTTGTCGACGTTTTCCAAACAGTGGATTCGCATTTTTCCCTTCGTAGGTCGTGGCAAGCGTTCTCCAGAAAGGATCTCGAGAAGCTTGATGAGCATCTTTCCGTCCCGAAGGTCGACGTAAAGGTCGCCAATTCGGCAAGAACACCGAACCAAGTGGGAGTTGACCCATTTTTGAAAAGTTTTCTTCTGTACCAATTCACGTTCACCTGGATTAAAAAAAGAAAAAGAGACGTTTAATTGAAGATTGTGAAGAAGGAAGCACTGATAGTTTTTACCAGTTTATTGGTAAATATTTTATGTGTATAGGAATATTGAATTTATTGCTAAATTGTAAAGAACTACTGTCAGTTCTCTATTTTTACCTCTTAAGTTAGACACGATTATATCGTAGTCCATTTTCCATTTAATTCAGCCTATAACTGTTCGGTCATATCCGTTACATTTTTTTAAACGTATCTTTTATATGGTTTTTCATTAGATCCACTCGACAATCACTACTAAGAATTTTCTGCGAAGACCATAGACTTTAAAGTGTACACTTATCAAACTCATATCTATATCAAAGGATGTGGCAATAGTTTCCTAAGCCGTGCAACTTCATCGAATGAAACTTTATACTTTGCAATTTAGCATGAAAGAACTACTTATCATGTGCACGTCAACGGTTCAAGTGTATCGTTTGCACATGAATTCATCGTTTTTTATTAAAAACATTTATGAATGATTATAAACATCGACAAATTATAATAAACATTAATTTTCTTAGAAATTCATAAAAAAAAATATTCATAAATATTAATTTTAATATTCATAAATATTTATTTTTATCTTAAATAGTGATTTTTATCATAAATATTGATTTTTATTCTAAATATTAATTTTCTCATAAAAATTTGTAAATTAACATGAAAAAACATACAGTACAAGACGGTATATTAACTTTTCTCATCTAGTAACCGAAATCTGTAATCATTACAATTTTATACAAAAATGTACAAGTCTATAGATAGATATGCCCTACATTAATTATTACTGTTACTGTATATATCATTAAAATGTTCTAATTTCTACGCTTTATCAATGACCATTGTGTTATTACCACACCCGATTCAATTTAATTTTTCGTTTAATTTAATTATTCTTATTTTTTGTTCGTAATTATCGATATTTTGTCTGCTCTCTATCTATGTAATCTATACAAATGGATTCATACTCCTGTAGTTAAATAAATAAAATGAACAATGCAAGGTACTCAGTCTTCCAAACAGTTAGCCTTAAAATGACGCCGTTTTTCTCAGTACAGCAGCAGGTAGATGGCCATTGTTTGGTTCACGTGGACCACAAAAGAGCAAAAGAAAGGAATTAGAGGAGCGTACCAGCTAAAGCTTTGATCCGTGAACGTTCGAAAAGTCTCGAACTCGAGTTTCCCCCGTCGTATTCGTACTCATCGACAATCTCTTGTTGTAACGTGGGGTCCCAACCCCCGCGCACCACCGAGATGTCGGTCGTCATTTTGTCAATCGGACCAACAACTCACTTCTGTCTTACCCTTCGAAAGGGCGCTCCTGAAACAACAGAAACGATTCAACTTTAATAAAACATCGAAGAGCGAAAAGAATTTTGTTCAATTTATGAAAAGAGAATTCATTTCCGCTGTATAAAATTCATCAGATCACGATAATGAGTGAGTGATTCCGATGCAAGGAAACGCCTACAGAAAAATTCTCTTTCGCTTGCAAAAGACCGTGCAATGAAATCTACATAGGAATTATACGAAATTAGAGATACATCAATTATGCAACATTGAGAATTCTTGAGAATTCTACCGTGATCATTAAAACAAAATCATTTGTAATTCCAAGAATACAGTTTATAGAAAACTGAATTAAAATGCATAAATATTCAAATTTTCTGTTAAGCCAAATCCACCTTCCCTTTATTATCATTTTCAAATCCATATTTCCAAAGCAAAGGACATGGTCGTGTGAAGGTCTTTTGGTCTATTCGCATGGTATAAAAAGCTAGCCATCGTCATATCATAAAACACAAGATGTGTCATTTTTTCATCAGTAATATATTTTGTATAATAATAAAGATAATTTCCTTTAATTTTCCAAAATTCAGCTGTTTGCCAATTTTTTAGTTTCTTTTTTGTGATATTTACCATTTATTTCGCTAATAAACGATAAATATAACCACTTTTATTCTCACATACACTACCCCCTCACAAGTGTTTGCCCATCTATTGTTTTCTCTTTATTCAAAAGCTCTGTAAGAGGTATTTAAGGATAGGAGGATAGTGCGTGATCTGGGTTACTTAGTACCCACACAGTAAGTTCTTTTTTAGTCTTTATTATTTATCTGGCTCACGAGGTTTACACTTTTTGCTTATCGCTTACTGACTGACTCTCAGTCACCTCGCGAGCTTCTTTCTCACCATCTTCTTTTTCCTGATTGGTTACCCCCAACTTATTGGTTGTAACCAATCAGGAATTTTGTCCTTAACCCGCCGCTAGTCCTTTGCGCGCTTTTTCCAGGACCGCGGCGAATTATGGTGGGGGCGTATTGTCCGCTGTAGCGCATTTGGCAACGCCGCGGATTTTCCTCCAGGTCCGGTACTTGGGACATGCGGCCTGGGCCTCTGGGCCCGTACACGGACCTTTCGGCAACCCTTGGTTTATGACCTGGCAAATTGCTATTGAGACCGTTGGTGAAAGTTTCTACGAAAACATGCATTGTTAGATTTAATAAACATTAGACAGACTAAAACGGTTTTCTCAAAAATAGCTTTGCTAGCGCGCACGTCATAAACCATGTTGGTCGTCCGCGCGGCAAATGCTTGCTTCTGCACTACAGCTGGTCGCCACAGCTCTGATAAATTTTTGAAAATAGTAATATATTTGAAAAGGAATTTTTTCAAAAGAAACAAAATTTTCTCTAAATAAGGGTTACAAACAAGTTAAATCCTTGACTTCCTGCTTAGAAACTGGTCAAATAGAGTTGCTTACGAAAATGAAGAACATAGTGAACAAATGGGTGGTATGTATGTTAATATTCTTATTTTTCTCAATATTGTACGAGCCCAAAAAATCATCCACCCTTCCTGAGCCACCCAGTATATTAGCATAACCACCTGCGAACGAGGCTGTACAATGACCAAGTCCAAGCCAAATTGCTTCAATTATGGATTATGGTATCAGGAAGGAACGATTCACGGATACGAAGAAAGAGCCGTGACAAGCTAGTGTTCATTCGTTCAGAGGCCGACTCGCGACGCTATTGGTGCATATTTCGCACGTGTGACATCATTCGCGTGATGTAATCGCGCGTCAAGCGACTCCCACGCACGCTTTCAGGACGTAACGTTACTCTACGAGTTGTTCAGTGAACACGGCTGAAAATAAGTTGTATGTGCACTTGACAATAACCGCCCTCTGTTGCTTTCTTTCTATCTGATCGCGATAACACGTCCCTCCAACATACGATCATTGTCCAAAGTCTGTGATAAAACAACGACAGATGTTTTCTCTCTGCTTAGTGTGACATGTCTCATAAATAGGGACTTTTTGGAGGTTAGGTAGAGATATCTCGATTTGAAAATTTCTTACAATTGTACACCAGTTCCCCTTATAGGTGAGGGAACAGAATTCACTTGTAGTAAACCCTGTTGTCATAAAAGGCGACTGAAATTTTTTTATATTTTATCTATTTTCTGTAATTTTGTAACCATTATTTACTTAAAAATGGGATAAGTGTGTTTTAATTGGCTGTAAAAAGTAGTCTAATAAGTCAAAAGTAGTCAGTAAGTCTGACTTTTTTGAGGTTAGGAATGACAATGTTTGGAATGAAAAGTTCGAAGAAATGGAGAAGTTTCGAAAGCTACTATAAAGTATTACAGACTACCAGCTACCTTGTATTCAGTTCATATTGAGCAAAATTAAACTGTAAAGATACAGTTGTGGAAGAGAGATTATTGGTTTAAGAATTGTTTGCGAATCCTATGAGTCATGCAGTTTGCTTGGACGTCGCGGAACAAAACGGATTGAAGATGTTAGCTTAGGCCTTTTCTGTTAACACCATGATTCTTCTTCACTAAATTTAATCTTCAGTTTCAATATACGCTTTCATCTTAAAATACAAACCTCGTTCAAGTGTCTCCAGCGCGTTTACCTTCTCTCTGCACAACGAATTAAAATTGAAAGCAAAAAAAAAAAAATGTTTGAGGTTAGAATGCTCATTTAGAGAATACAGAAGCTATTTCTATATCTTTAACCGTGTAATTTCAATTTTGAATTGACTGCACGTACTGACGACAGCATGAAAATAAGCAGTACCTTTACAACCTTAAAGATCTCGAGGAAATTGCACGACTAGCCGGTGGAATTCTTATCATTACGCTTCACTTGCAACGCTCGGTAGCCTTGATTATGTAATTTCAATTCCCGATACGCTATAAAAGTCTGTTTGCTCGATTGACGCGATGAAATCACTGCTGGATTATGTTTTATTCATTCTTGGATTGTCGCTGCTCTATAAAAAGCTTCATGGCTTAACACGCTTTAATTTCAATCGTAATATACAATTCATTAAAAATTCTATCTCTGTGTACATCTTGCAATTTTATGTTCATTGAATAACATTTCTGTTTGAGTATTCTTGATCGTCAAGCGTAAATTCTGCGCGAAGTTTCTTACTGCATGGACTTAATGTTATCGTATTTTCCCCTTTACAAATATGAACCTCAACGTAGTTTTCATTCAGCTTACAGATTCTCAAGACTTCACATATTTAACATGTCATCGACAATTCTCATTGATTTAAATAATTATATCATTAATTAATAGATAATCGAAGTCGACAATTTTCTTCTTCCTAAACTATCGAAGACATTATGAAAAATATTTGGACAATCATTTGGCCAATTCCAATCGATTCATTAACGATAGCAAATTGAAGTGTCCAACGATATCAGGTTTATCGCTACGCCTAATCTATCATAGTACCATTATAGTTTCACGTAAAGTGTAGGGAGAATTAATCCACTACTTCAACTATCTGATAAGAATTCTTTAAAAGAATCCTCCAAATAAAACGCTAATAAATAAAAATCACTGCAAGACCGTCGTCGAGGTATGTATATCAGAAACATTTAACGTTTTTAATTACTTCCAGGCCACAATCAGTTTCCATTCCATGATACACACGGGGTACGAGGCATTTTTCTTCACTTTTCCAAGGCAGTTTGCACAACAAGTGCATTTCTCGTTAAGAACCAGCCAGGGGAATTTGAATTTCTAAAGGGACGTCGGTGTTTTCCAGCTCGTGACGGCGTACGGTACAATAGGCACGCGCAATCCTCCCCGAGATAACGACTGCAAAGCAATCTTATCTGGTACGACTGTCTTTTATGTGTTTTGTGTATCGTAGGCGAGCCGCTTGGAGATAACGAGCGGCTCGATCGAAGCGTGCTAGCACAATTAAAAACATCTGGAGATTGGCATCGAGGCCAGCTAACGAAAGTGCAATTTCTTCGATGCTACGAACGCGTGACTAATTCGAGACGCGTTAGGAATAATATACCGGAGGAAGAGGCTATTCTCGGAACGGTAAATAAAGATCGTGCAACAGAAGCGTAACCTGCACATTTTTCCCCTCCCACGAACCCGTTAATCCTGGATGAATGTATGGATAAAGATGGAGAAATGTTGAATGGTCGTGTGATAGTAATATTGATATTGCTGGCTATCTTATACAGAGTGACCTCAAAAGTAACCATCTATTTGGAAGTCTTATAAACAATTATAAGACATAAAATACATGTTTTCTTTACGTTCAAATTATTTAAAACTAATTTTCGTGATTTCTTTTTTAAACATTTCCAAAAACTTGTCTCTTTCTTTTCAGTTCCCTTATCGATGATGATGTTACAGGAAAGAGTTTTGATAGTTTACGGAAAGGCAATGAAATTAGAGAAAAATTGGAAAGGAAATTTCATAAAATCGCATCGAGACATTGATGGTCGACACGTAGAATCTAACAATTAAACTGTCGACTATTGGATTATGGGAGTTATTGGTTGTTAATTAATTAATAATCCTTATTTTAGACTATAAACTTTTATTAGACACAAGGAAGGTTCGCTTTTCTACTTGATGGTAAGAGCACTGTATACGGACTGAGAATGCTCCTACGCAACGCCCTAATATTGTCTACGACCCCGCTTGGGACCGTATCATAAACATTTAGATCTTTACTAAACAGAGGTGGTAAGGCTAAACGGATTTCTCCGAACGTATACAAGATTATTAACGAAGAACGTTAGATTAATTTTTGTTATATCTAACTGACTGATAAATCTAACATAGACCATATACTTTCATGCATTTAGTTTCAGTATATATGTGTACTATCGTGTGTTATAATTATTTTTATAAAATTTCTATGATATAATTCTTCCTTAATATAACATTTTTCATATCGAATTCTTCTCCATGCGGTGGTCCAATTTCCTCCTAACCTCCAAAAGATGTATCAGCTACTTCATAGAGTGTGTTCTTGGGCCTAG